AACACCAGCAGTAAATCACCTATGCCAGATGGTAGTAAAATCTAAATCTGAAACATACAGAGAGGAAAGCCAGAGAAAGTAAGTAAGCCTTTAGAGCCTTCTTAAAAGTATGCAATAAGGAGGCCTTATGGACCTCAATAGCAACCCATTACAGAAGTGTGGGGAATAGCAGTGGAAGGATCTTCCATTTGCTCTGGGCATCCAGGGGCAGGTGATGACTAGGCAGAGATTTATAGCTAGTTGTCTGGAGATTGCATTCTAGGATCCTGATTATGGAAAGCATTTTAAAAATAAATAAACTCATTATTAAATTTTGTAACTTCCATTGAAAAGATTTATTAAAAACTGCATTAAAATAGTAGCACTATATTGTCTTGAAGACTTGCATTGCAATAGTAGGTGCCAATCACTTTAACATGATCCATAATGCACTCTGTCACGAGCATGTAGTAACTGTACTTCCAAAGATCAGGGACCACAATGTCCCACCAAGAACTGACCAGGGGCCACATGCCACCGCTAAATTCACTTTCGTGGCTGCCACAATTGCTATCTTTTTAACCAAACTTTTGTTCAGGGAGTGCAATCCTGCTTGCAAACAGGGCACATGCTCCTTGTGCACTTTGTTTCTGTGCAAAATCACTGCTATTTTTGCAGGTGGTGTGAGCTTTGCAGCTTCTGAAGCCGGATAGGAATATAGCAAGGTCCACAAAGATAATCACAGGATGCCACACATTGCCTACCTCTGCTGTAATCCTATGCTAATTCATTTAGGATTAAGTCCTAATCTTCAAAGGAGTAAACATGTACTAGTGTCTATGTAAATATCAAGCAAAAAATGAAGCTGATAATTTGTGAAATCTAATGGTGTTCAAACAGACTTTTGTTCACAGAATTGGCTCCTTTCCAAACCTGAAACCTCACCCAGTTACTAGTCCAGGGGGTCTCCAAGTAGGTGGACTGCTTTAAATCACTAGTTCAATAAATAAGAAAAATCTGATTCAAATAACTGCTTAAATCAAATATATCGCTATAACTTTTTCATATATTTGCAGTTGCAACTCTGACCACTAACCCAGGTTAATTTACAATTAGAGTATTATTTACATTGTTTTATCCTTATTGCCAGGCTTTCCATTTCTTTTTCTCATGCTTTCATCTTTTACTTATAGAAGAAATGGCTTTATGATACTGTTGTAAGTGTCTCTCTTGTGATCGGCACCTTCTTCATGCCTTTTAACACTGAGAAAAGACATCAACAGATGTGGACACATCCATTTACATCATCTGCATTGGCCTGCAAAGGTCTGATGGAGGAATGCTTTGGCCCACCACCTTAAAAATGTTCCCCAGCTCTGTTTTATGGGACTGTGGTCCAAGCATGGGAAAACAGAAAGATGCACACTTGTGATTTTGTCTTTGCTTTTCCTTTGCAGTGTTCCTCCTTTCTGCTTTGCTCTGTTTTTGTCCCAGCCTTAATCTTTGCAGAAACAAGGAAATGAGCAAAAATGAAAGTCCCATGATTGATGTTGCCGCAGGATGAGTTAGTTACTTGGCAGACAAGAAAACTTCATTTTCATCAGGGAAAAACAGAATGCCGCAGTCTGGTAGTTAAAGGGTAAATATGAATAGTATGTGCTGACTCCAAGATTCAGTTCAGTTGCTAATTTGATGCTACAGAGAAGATCCCAGTTCAGTTTGGAAAATTTGAGAGTCACCTGCTTTGAATACCAGCTAAAATCCAAATCATCATGCTGCCCCTTTTCTATGAGTTGAAAGCAACAAACGGATACAACAGTTTGACTGTCAGAACTGAATGAACTTTTCAAGCAAAGCTTCCTATGAGGAAATTATATAGGCAAAATTGCAGACAGACAGGTCCAGGGGGCTTTACGCAATGTGCTTTAAAATGTTTTTATTTCAAGTAAGGAAGCTATTGTTAATGTTTTTATTTCTGTTTTGTAGACTATTCCCCTTTCTTGCAAGAAACAAAAGGCAGCTTACATGAAGCTGCCCTTTCCCTTTTTATCTTCACAACAACTGTGTGAGGTAAGTTAGGCTGAGTCTAAGGTCACCTAGTAGGTTTCATGGTTGTGTATAGAACAGAACTTGGAACTTCTAAGTCTTACTCCATACCAGCTTCTTGGCAGAAGTGGATGGTGTTTGAAAATATAGTTGTCCCTTTTGAGCAGATCATACTTTCCAAGTTTCAGGTGAATAGATGCAGAGAGTTTTACAGAAAAGCAGTTATCATTATTTGAGGATTTCCATACAAGAATGTTTTTATGTTTTCTGTGAAAAATGTTAGACAAATAACATTGCATAGAAGTAATCCTAATTAAGATACATGCTACATTTCAAAAGGAGAGGTACAGTGCTCTTTGTGGAAGAGCAGTGTTAAAATGGGAATACTGTTTATTTAGTTAAAGAAAGAACTTCTGGTTCAATCAGTGAAAATCAAAGTTAAACCATAATAATTTTGAGTCTAGATAGATTTAGTCCTAAAGATAATAGAACTTAATGGCAGAAAACAAAAGTATTTGGTCCTATTATTATGTCTTGGATTTTTATTTGCTTAAAAGTCAAAACTACCCTACACCTGTAATTTTTTACATGAAAAAGAATGAGGTATTTGGAAGATATATGTTCAATATATCAATAATTTCTAGCTCAAAATAAAGGCTTGCAAAGAGTAGGTGAGATTGGTTAAGGTAAGAAATGTTTCAAATAGAGTTAAAAATGCCTTACTATAGTTAACAGTAGCAGTGTGTACTTCTGTTTATACACGTACCAAGTTCCTTGCTCTTTCTTGCCCAATACAAAATGAATCAAACCAAACATTTACTGTGAACTAGCTTTCAGAACACACTTTCGATTCCAAACTCTGGATCACTGATTTATGGTATTTCAACTATTGGCACATGGAAACCTCTGAATATTAAAGCAGGCATGAAGACGTTGTGCCAGTTAAGACAGAAACATTGATTTAGCCAAATGTTCCCAGCAGTGTCCAAGGATATGCAATTCTTTATTTTACTGGTGTCAGAACAGTTACAGTTAGTAAAGAAGTGACCATTATTCAAATAAATGACTATTTTCATGACTTCTAGGCAGATATTATTTTCTATTATGCAAAATACTGCTTAATTTATGCACTGACTCTTCAAAAGTCATGAATACTGAATGAGAGATTGTAATGCATATAGATATAAATGAGGTTGGCCTAAAGCACTGTGCTGATATATTCCATTTAGCTGCACAGAAAAAGTAGATTTTATGCAACAGATACTTTTAACAGGGTTTCACTGTTGTATTCAACCAGGATTTTAATTATTTATAAAGATCCTTCTAGGCTGCCTTTGATGGCTTCCAAGATGATTTACAAAAGAAGATTAACAACTGTAAACATTAACAAAATTAAAGCAAAATACTGAAATTATTGGACCAGACAAAAGGAGAGAAACAGTATTAAAACCAAGAAGAGTAGAGTTAAAAGCTTTGCTATAATGAAAAATCATTAAAATCCAAGCAGAATTAGAGAAATGCTTCCCACCTATCTAAGGGCAGAGATAACTATATAGTCTAAGCTTCCTTGGAAAAGAAGGCGGGTACACATAATTGTACACACGACCATAGAAAAGCCTCCATCCTATGTTTCCAAACCAATATCCTTTGGGAGTGGAGCATACAACAGGCCTCAAACTTGATCACAACCTAAAGGCAAGTTGATATGAGAAGAGGAAGTTTGGAGGTAACTTGGTCCTCAGGTTTTGCAGGTCAGCACAACCAAATGTATTAGGTCTAATCAATATAAGACTGGTGTACCAGTTTGTTCCTGAACACTCTTTAAGAGCAGCATCACACATTGTAGCAATCCACAATGTGAGGCCTGCAGGCATCTCTAATGGCATCTATGGAGGGGTCCCCAATATGGTACCCAGAGGCACTCAATTTTAAAATTATTTTTCCTTTAGATTTACATATATGGTATATGAAATCCATACAGTTGTCTAGCAATTATACGTAAGCTTAATTAATAATGTCATTTTTATACTGCTCCAAACTCAAGTCTCCGGGCTTACAGGTTTACAACAGTCCATAAAACAGATAATAAAATACAATTAAAATAGCATAAAATAAAAGTTAAAATACCCAAATAGGCCTCTATGCTACCTACTCAAATACTGAAAGTACTGTAAGGTCTTCAATCCATTACATTATAGCTGGTGAGTGTTCATCCTTTCAGTGCCATTATATCCAATATTGGAATTAATTTTACTTAAGAAAGCCTCTCACCAATGCACCACATCTCTTGGTCTTCAAAAGATGCCACATGAGGGTTCTTCAGTACAAGAGCAAAAAGTAATTGCCTGTTTAGAGGATACTTCTAAAATATAGAAAATAAAAAGAAGCAGGACGAAGTGCCTTACACTGAACTTCAAAGTTACATTGACAACCTTTTGAAATAAAGTTTAAAAGAAATTATGGATTCATTTGAGGCTAAACCAAAAAAGGGGCCACAGATCTGAATGGGATACCTCTGTTCAGTTTGGATTACACTCACCATGACTTCATTATTTTAGACTTGTTCCCAATCAACTAGTCAAACTTCCTGAAGGAAATTAAGGTATATCCAGGACTTAAGCCTGAATCCTCTAATCATGGGAGGTCTTCCTTACATGACCTCCTGCCCTTGACAAGTGCAAATTTGTGAGGATAGCGAAGGGGGTGATGGTTATTTCATGGGATAATGTCAGAGAAGTCCCAGGTTTTCTAAATTTATGATATTTTAAAAGCTCCCTCTTTTACATTAGGTGCCAAGATTAGTTGAAACTGAAAATCTCCAACCTGGTTTCAGTGCTGCTTTTCTGTTTGTGGCCTTCTTTTCTGAGTGAAAAGCATCTGTATCACCTTACCTTGCCACAGGAATACAGACTTTGTAAATTAGTACAAGGAGTAGCTTGGAGCAGAATTTGACTGAACTCAAAGAACCAGCTTACCTTACGAGGTGGGGGTCCATGGTCATCCAAGTAAGTGGAATTTCCTACAAAGAAAAAAGGGAAATGTTAACATTAAAATTGTAATGCTTCAGAAATTAAGTGATAAAAATAGGGTAACCACCTTATAAAAAAGGTTTATATCAATCAAAAGAAACATAAGGCTTCTTTGCAGAGGTATTTATAGACAGAGAGCAGCCTTTCATATCATAGTGCCGTTGATATGTTTTTGGCCTTGCTGATTGAGGATGATGGGAGTTGTACTCAAACATATCTGGAAAGTCTCCGTTTGAAGAAGGCTGACAGAAGTTGCTTAACTTCTGGTTTTCTTGAAGGAAACAGTATTTCCATATGGAGCTTGACTATGAAGATTCTCTGAGAAGGAGATTGCCCCTCTTTGTCACATTGAATATGTACACTCAAGCATGTCTGCAGAAAGGAAGATTTACAGCTACTAGTGGTGTTATGATATCTAAAGCATACATTTTATTTTCACACTGTTTGTTTACAGCATTTGAAAATGAAATTTTGCAGGGAGAAGGTTTTGTTGGCATACCCTAAACTAGAATCAAATATAAAACTTGTTACAGATTTACAAGATGAGATTTTAATGATTTCTGTATGGCCTTGATAGTTTCTAACTGACTTTAAAATGACTTGGTTTTAATAATACTTTTTCCCATGGCCTCGACTTTTTTTTCCAAATCCATTATCATTGATATGAAAGTAATGGCTCTTCATTCTATTCCAGATTTTAAGCACTTGTCCTTGTATGACTAATTCTTTTAGAATTTCTGCTATTTAGGCCATGATGTTGTTATTCTCTGTAAGGAAAAAAACCCCTTGTAATCCATGCCTTCACCCAAACTATTCCTATTTAAAATCAAATTTCCCTATAAAATGCATATAAAATATGACCAACTTGAGATTTATAAAGACACCTATATTGATAATTTGTATCAGAACTGTTATAAATTCTGAATGCATATGTAATATATTTTAAATACATAAATTAAAGGAATCATTATTAATCACAGTATTTTAGAAGACATTTTTGAAGCAGGCCCATTTTACACCTTAGATGGTGTGAATACTTTTAAGCAACTCTTTTGAAGTTGCTTATGATGCAAATTTCACAATTTCCTCTGCTGTACTTCAATGTGAAACAATTTTATGCTATGTTTTTGCTGCATAAACAATTTTTATGTCATTGTATGTCTTTTAGTACTTCCTTTTTTGTGTTCTGGTACAAGAGATTACATAATTTGTAGATCAACTCTATGATGCACACATTGAGTGCGTTCACACATCATGCTGAGTCACCTTGTGAGTAAGTTATGGTGAGCTGGTTGTTTGCTGGACAGCCCATGCTACGCCCAATAGACAATCAAGCTCACTATGGGGTGTTCGCTCACTTCTCCCACCATCCTGTAGCTGGCTCTGGCATGTATCCCAGTATTCTTCATGGCAGAAACTTTCCATCTCCCCGTCCCTACAGTAATGAAGCCATAATGCAACTGTATAGATTTGAATTTATCATTAGCCACTGACACACACAGAGAGAGCTCTTCTACCAGTTTCAGTTGGTAGTCTAGCTACATCCCTATCTGGACAGGAGTTGCCTTGTTACAGTACTCCATGCTCTAGTAATCTCTGCATTAGATAACTGCAATGCTTTCTACATGGAACTGCCCTTGAAACCATTCCGAATCTTCAAGCTGTCAGATTAATAACCGAACCAACACTGCTTGGGATTGCAATATCTGACAGACTGCATCTCCCAGCTGCAATCTACCCATCTTCTGAGTGCCACAACCAACAAGTGAGAGGACCATTTCAGAAAGATATCCCCACTGAGACCCACCTACAAACAACAATGTTCTCCTTGCAGTATTAAGTAAAGTCAACCCTCTGTGCTAAGGGATTTAAGGATGTCTAAATTACCTAATGGATTGATGGGGGCATCCATATCTGGTCTACATATGATTTATCTGCCTACATATTATTTATTCTTTTTAAATTATACTATCTTTAAACATTTGCATTATGGAAAAAATACAATATTTTATTGTTTAGGTCTTGTTTATGAAATATTATAAACTGCCTATAAAGCTTTGTAAATTAAATATAAACAAACATGCTATTTTCCAGGAAAAATATGGATGAGATTCATCAAACTCAAACCAAATATCTGAATTTGTGACCCTCTGTGACTAGCGTCTATATACCACCCACTGGCATGGTGAAGGCATTGCCACATGCTCAGTCCACTGCATTATAGGAATTTAGTATTATCCTTCCAGTTTTATAATAATTCTTTTATTACTATTAGCATTTATTTCTAAGTGATGGAAAAGTGAATACAGATTTATTGTATGGCTTTGAATAATCTTATAGATATGTTTGGCATTTACTGAAACACATACACAGAGTGGGACTAAATATATACACGGCTTCTCTTTCCAACATAGCAAAATGCCAAGTTACCCTATGATCCAGCTGTTAGGACACACTAATTTTCCATAACAATGAGACATCTGTATGAAGAAGCAGCCCTCTATGCAATTAAGAAAGTTAACAGAAAGCTATTGATAAAGAATGTTCCTAGCATTCTCTTAGGTTCACAAGTAACCTTAAAACAAGAAATCTTTCAGAGTGCACAGATACTGTAAGAAAATAGCACACTAATTTTGTAGATCATGCACAAATTTATAAGCCTTTATTTATAAAACTAAGACTTTTGAAATGATGTGAGAACTACATTGATTTTTCAGGCTGTTTCAAACACTGGATGATAAAACACCATCACAAGGACATAGATTTAATATTAGTTGTGATGAGACAACGGACTTTATATTATATATTAAAGTCATAAGTGGTAAACAGCAAACATGTTGCTCTACAATAGCATATTATCTAGGGTAAGTGCAAATATTACTCCTGGATCAAATCCAGCGTCCTCAGGAATGCAAGCTAGCCGACCAGTCAGCAACCTAGGATTCAAAGGTATATAAAATCCCCTTCATGCATTAATCATGAAGGATATCCTTATGCTTAATCAAAAGTCCTCTCCCTGTGTTCCTCCTTGCACCCAGATTCCCCTCAATCGTGCAGAGCCCTTTCACACATGGAAGTAGAAAAGAGGAAAGTACAGAGATTTGTAATGAGGCAGTAGTGTTGTGCTTTGTAGTTCTCTTTTCCTTCAAAGGCTGCTGCATCCAACCAAAGAGTTCACCCACAGTTCTGCTGAGGCAGTCTGAGATAGAGTTCATTTACTCACATGAAAACAACCCTTATATACTAAAAGAGAAACAGAGAACCTGTGGCCCTCCATCTGTTATCAGACTCAACCTTTAACAGAGTAAGAGTATCCAGCATAGCCAGAGGCCAGGGATACTGGGAATTATTCCAACATCTGGAAGGCCACACAGGTTTGCCACTACTGCACTAAATATGGAAACATTTATTTCCTATGTTGAAACCCTTTATACATTTGATCAAAGCCCAACCAAATACAGTTGTCTATATTTTTTCTAATATACAAACACACATACACATACAGAAAATAGCACATGCATGCAGACCTCTTCTCTGCTGTCTAACTTGTCTTTTCATATCAAGCTCCTACTTAAGCTGTTTTATTGTAAATGTTCTGTAAGCATATCTACAGTGTAGAATTACAATTACTGAATTGTTTCTATAGTAATCTTGGATATATATGTCATCCCATTTAAAACCACCTCTTCCCCTCCATGCCCATTTAGGTGTGCGGAGGCACAATGATAGCTTAGCTGTCACAACATGTGGTCTTCGGGTAAAAAAAAAAAGAAAAGGTTGCCCAGTACTGGTAAAGAAACTGGAGCTCCTGCGCTTTTTGTCTTCCTCACACTTGTCTTACTACTATACAGATTTGCTACTATGCAGCATTTCAATACAGTTTTACACTACAGAATGTACATTTGTTTTCTGTTGGCAGAAACAGCAAGGAGAAACAGCAATTCTCAGGATTTCTGAGAATCTCTCCATCCGTAAGAATGTAAACAAGCAAAAAAATTCCTCACTTAGTCATTTCATGTGCTCAACAGAACTCCATGGCAGAAGTTACACAACCTAATTCCATTTAAATCTGGCAATGCAGATTTTATTCTAAATTAACTCATGTGTCAAAAGACAGGTACTCTGAGGATATGTTGTTGGCCACCATCACTGTGTATAAAATAATGTGGAAAAAAAATCCCATAGGCACTAAAAATATTCTTTCTACTTAACATGCCAGAAAATAGTTGGGCAAAAGCAAGGCTAAAGAATTATGACAACAAAGATAACAGCCTACGCATTCCAGAAAGGAACAAAACAACTTGGACTACTGGATGAGAATTCTGATTTAATTTTACCTTTACTACAACATAGTTGTCCAAATATTTTGATATTGCAATCATTCATTAAAATTTTGTTCAAATATTGTAAATATCAGATAGAAATTATATGCTAAAGTCTTCACTTTTATTTTCTTTTGTATACACCCAATTCTGGCTCTGCAAGTGGTTTAGGAAGTATACATGGATTAAATGACCTTCACTTCAAAGACATCTCTAAGTTGTTTTTTATAACACTTAATTTTCCTAATGTTTTACGACACTCTTGGATTAATCGCTTAATTTCCTGACAAGCTAGGAGTATTTTAAAAAATGCAGTCCCAAACTTTACTTGCAGATACATTATGCTACATCAGGTCAACACATGGAAGTTCTCCTTTCAAGTCTGTCAGTTTGTCCTTGCCCCCTGTGCTACAGAGGAGGAAGTTTTTGTGTACAATCAGCACTTTCCTGTGGTGGCAGAAACCCATTTATTTATTTGTTCAATTTATATTTCGCTATAACTATCAGTTTTTGCCTGGTGCTGAAAAGATTGCAAAGATGGCATCAGGCGAACTATTTTTTGAAGGCCATTCCACAAATGGGGCGCAGCCACTGAGGAGGCCCCTCTTCTGTTTGTCATCCTCTTTACCTCCTTTAAAGGATGTCTTTCCCAGAAGGGCCTCACCTGA